GATTGATTTAATGTAAAATCCCCACTATCCTTCTTTACTTAGATTCCAAGGATAGTATCTACTTCTCCAAGATCTTTCATTTTGAAAGTGGAGGATAGAAATCGTTTTGTTTCTTTGATTCCGTCTATATTGTTACTAATGATTAGCATATCATCGACATATAGACACACTAATGTGATTATATCACCATTCACTTTTGTATAGAGACATTTATCTACTGAATTGTGATTAAATCCATTTGACATTATTTTAGAGTCAAAATTCTCATGTCACTTTTTGGGAGCTTGCTTTAATCCATATAAAGATTTAATTAATTTGCACACCTTATGTTCATTTCCCGATAGAACAAACCCTTCCGGTTGTTCCATATAGACCTCCTCTTCGAGATCTTCATTTAAAAATGTTGTTTTTACGTCCATTTGATGAACATATAAATCATATATAGATGCTAGTGCAAATAAAGTCCTTATTGAGGTTATCCTTGCCACGGGTGCATATGTGTCAAACTAATCAATTCTTTCCCTTTAATGATACCCTTTAACTACCAATCTAGCCTTATAAGTATTAAGCAATCCATCAGAATTATATTTCTTTCTAAATACCCATTTACAACCAATAGCTTTCGAACCTGCTGGTAGGTCAACTATTTTCCAAGTGTTATTTGAAATAATAGAATCCATTTCATTATTTATAGCTTCTTTCCAGAATATATAATCTCTTGATTGCATTGCTTCCTTATAAGTCTTAGGATCACTTTTCCACTTGAAGAACAAAAGGAATTATTTTTACAACATCCTTCCTATCTCCTTCTACTAGGTAAAAGGAAATAAGTTGGGAATCTATTTCATTTGATCCTAAGTTCTTTTCCTTTCTCGTTCTTTTGCTTCTTCGAGGTTCAAAGTCAACATCCTTTATGAATGTCTCTTTTGGTGAGCTTTTAAAGGTTAGAATATCCTTATTATTTTCAGATTTCCTAGCTACCATCACATTCTCAAAGAATTCCACATCTCTTGATTCTATTATAACATTTGATTCAAGATTTAATAACCTATAGGCTTTGCTATTAAGGGCATATCCTACAAAGGCACATTTGATACCTCTAGGACCTAACTTGGTTCTCTTTGAATCCATATTTTTATAATACGCAAGGCACCCCTACAGTTTAAAATAATTAATATTTAGTTTTCTACCTCTCCAAAGTTCATATGGGGAAATTTTATTCTTTTTTATAGGAATTCTATTTGTTATATAACAAGCACAAAGTAATGTTTTACCCCATAAGTTAAAAGGTAATTCAGAATTTAATAACATAACATTTATAATTTCCAAATAAGTCCTATTCTTTCTTTCTGCTAATCCATTTTGTTCCGGTGTTCTAGGTGCAGAAGATTGATGTATTATTCCATTTTGTTCACAAAATATGTTAAATTCATTTGAAAAATACTCTCAACCTCTATCACTTCTTAAAGTCTTTAATTTTCTTCCTAATTGATTTTCAACTTCATTCTTATAAGTTTTAAAGGCACTAAAGGCTTCATCCTTATGTTTAAGTAAGTATACGTAAGTATACCTAGAACAATCATCAATAAAAGTAATAAAATATCTATTACCGCCTCTAATTAATATTCCATTTAATTCACAAATGTCGGAATAAACAAGTTCAAGTAATTTTGTTGTTTTTTCTATGCTATGAAATTGCTTCTTAATCATTTTTGATTTAACACATATTTCACATTTTTCTAAGTTATCAATATCACATTGTATTAATCCACATTTAATCATTATTTTCATAGTGCTAACTCCTATATGTGCTAATTTATTATGCCATAAATTAAATGAATCAATAACATACGCAAAAGATTTAATTTTATTTGAGTTATCCTCAACAGTACATAACTTGACCATTCCTTCGGTGGAATAGCCCTTTCCAACAAAATGCCCATTATGGGTTGATACAAGTTTTCCAGATTCAAAGACAGATTTAATCCCGGGTTTTCCTTAAAGGACACCACTTGCTAAGTTCCTATTCATTTTCGGTACATGACATTTATCAAAGTGATCTTCTTTCCCGAAGTGAAAAGGAGTTCAACATTTCCTTTACCGATCACCTTTGATCTTCCTTCATTTCCCATTTGTATTTCTTGGTTGTTTTCAATGTCATGATAAGTTTTGAAAAGAGACTTATCATAACATACATGGATTGTAACGCATGTATCGTACCACCAGCCCAGAACTTGGCCTTGGATTGCATTGATTTCACTCACTGTTGCAATAATTTCATCAACAGAGTTCACTTGTCCTTCCTTCTTATGTTGTTTCCTATGCCTGCAATCTTTAGCATAGTGTCTCGGTTTCCCACAAACATAGCACGGTCCTTTAACTTTGTTTTTGAATTTTCTTTGATCCTTTCTAGAACCAAGAAATTTCTCTTTCCTTTTGAACTTGTTGGAGTTGTCCACATTGTCCATGGCATTGGCTTTCGAAGAACCATCATAAAAATTTTCAATCTTATCTCTTGCCCTTGATTCTTCCTCAATGCAAAGATGTTTCTGTATGTCTTCTAAAGAAAAATTTTCGGAATTGTGAAGAATTTTCTTCCTATATCCTCTCCAAGAACCAGGGAGTTTAGCAATAATTGCTCCCACTTGGAAAGTTTCGGGAAGTTCGATTTTTACCACTTTCAATTTGTTCACAATTATTTGTAACTCATGTACTTGAGGCAATAAAGGTATATTGTCTAAAATTTTAAAATTAAAATATTTAGATATTAAAAACTTTTTAGTACCTTCTTCCTTGGCTTTGTATTTATTTTCTAATACATACCAGATTTCTTTAACTGAAGTAGTGTTTGTGTAGAGATCATATAGTCGATCGGACAATGCATTTAGAATGTACTCACGGCATTTCAATTCATCTTCTTCTCGTTTCTTCCTTTCTATGCGAATTTCTTCGGTGTCCTTATCAATTGCATCGGGAATGGGTTCCAATTTTGAATCAAGCACGTAGAAGATCTTCAACACCGTTAGAAGAAATTTGAGTTTGTCTTGCCATCTTGTAAAGTTTGCACCATCAAATCTATCCAAACGCACCAGATCTTGATTCATCATTTTGATAGTAGCAATAGTAGATTTCGACTCCATTGCAGTAAATGCAGAGTAACGTTTGAGTTTGTTAAAAATTTAAAGTAATGAAGAGAAGAAAAATTGGTAATAAAAGAATATAGATATAATAAATACCAGTCACAATTACAGAATATCGCAATACAACGAAATACAAATTTTTTAGATCACAACTTTTTTATTAGTCACAAATTATCAAATTAATTGGTCAAGACTTATTTCCTGATCACAAATCATGAAATTTATTGGTCACAACTTATTTACTGATCACAAATTATCAAATTAATTGTTCACAACTTATTTATCAATCATAAATTACCAAATTAAATAATCATAATTACTCAAATAAATGGTTGCAAATTACTCCTCATCTTCCCTACTTTACCCTACCCGTCCACCATTGTCGATGCGCCCAAAATTTCGTCGTCGCCACAAATCCACAACCCACCACCACTTCGTACACACCACCACTATCACCTCAAACGAACCACCACCACAAGAGATGTGGCCTATGTGGTGGATGGCATGGCTTGTTTGGAATGGCCAATAAGTGGCATGAAAGTGAAATCAAGACAAATGGCATACGTTAGCCAACGAGAGGACTAGAAGATCAATTGTGGAAAAACCTGATTGCATAACTTATTTAGCCCTCGTTTGATAATAATTCTTCATTCAAAAAATCAATTTTTTTATCGTTATTTTACTATTTCAGCCGTCCTTTTTTATTTCTTCACTCACACGTGAAATCCACTTTTCTTTCTAGCGATCAAAAAATCAATTCTTATAATCCCCATCGAACAGACCCTTAATTTAATAATATTATTATTAATATTAAAAAGTGGAATTATGACATAATTTTTGAATAAATAAATTTTAAACTTTAGTTTTTTAAGTTGAAAGTTAAAAATCATGACGATGTGTTATTTCTTTTTAATCACTATGCTGCAGTCATGAAAATCGACTTAAATTCAATAAAAATATCATATTCAAAGATTCAAGAGTGACTATTCATATAAATTAACTCGACGTCAAAGATGCTTACAAATTTATGACTAACAAATTAAAACCCCCGCACCCCCACGCCCACCCCACTCCGAAACCCCATTTCATTAGAGAAAATTTGTCTAGGGGTCTTTAACATTTCATAAGTGTGTATAATCTCCCTAATCTTCTATTTGTAAGACTCATATTCCCAATATTTCGACATCTGCAAACAGTATCCTTACGTTACAAATATCGTCTATCCACACAACATGGATATAATGTCTATTTGAAAATGTCAATTATCTAATAAAGATCAACATTTAGCCCTTATTTAGTGTAGATTAGGATTAGTTTTTTTAAGTAAATCTTAATAAAATTAATTGCTGATTTTAAATTAATTTTTTTAAAAAAAATTTAATCTAAACTAAATATGAACTTAATGTAAGCGGCAAAATTATCGTTTAATTTTGGAATAAATTCAATTTATCCTTCTAAAAACACACCATGTACATATGTCGTATGCACGCTAAAAAGTCTAAATGGAGATTTTTCACCATGTGGGAAGGGATACAACTCTCTCTCTCTATGTTGAAATGTTAGAAATTAATTTTTTGGGTTGACTAATTGTCAAATGGACGTATTTATCGTTTTACTGCAATCGAGATTAAAAGTTTTAGATTGTGGGTACAAAAATAAAAAAATTGGTATAATATGTAACAATATGAAAGATTTGGAACCTCAATTGCAATTCTCCCCAAAAGTATGACAATAATGCAGTCGGAAAAGGGACACTTGTACACAATCCATCTGTATCTACTCAAGAGATATTATCCATGGGCCCCACATCTATCTAGTCTTTATCCTTATCCTCCCAATTCCCTCTATTTCCACCATTATTTTTCCACATACCACTCTTGCCACCTATAATTCAGTACAGAATACAGAAAGCCCTCCTTTTTTGTGTAGTGGAAATAGAAATAAACGGTAGGGAAATATTGAAATCGATTTCTCTCGACTCTATGGGACCGTAGTGGTAGTAGATATTTTACTACCATCAACCCTTTATATATTCTAAGCAGAGTAAACTTCACTGAATCAATCAATCAATCAGTGGAGAAAAAGGGAAAGGAAAGAAATAATGGTTTTGCTAGATCAACTCTGGGACGACGTCGTTGCCGGGCCTCAGCCTGATCGCGGCCTCAAACACCTCAAGAAAACCTTTACCAAACCCTTGAACATCAAAGGTTAGGCTCTCTCTCTCTTTTCTTTCTTAATTAGCCGACCTCTATATTCAAGCAACTGATGTTTGTATGTATATTTTTTTTGATTAGACGTCGGAGGAGAGGGTAGTAGTAAGTACCAGAGATCCATGTCGATGCCGGCAAGCCCAGGGACGCCGTCGACGCCTTTGACTCCGTCGCCTACAGCGGCGCGTAAAGATAACGTGTGGAGGAGTGTGTTTCATCCTGGTAGCAACCTTGCGACAAGGAGTGTTGGGGCTGACTACTTTGACAGGCCACAGGCTAACTCTCCAACTGTTTATGACTGGTACGTAAGTATTTTTTCGTTCCCTTTCGTTTCCTTTGTGGAAGTTTCAAGTTTAGATGCTTAGATTTAGAAGAAGACTATCTTTATATGATTTTGAATACTATACAGGCTTTACAGTGGGGAGACTAGGAGCAAACACCGTTGAAGAGAGAGGAGTATGGTTGATCTGTTAATAGTGTCTTTCTACTTGCTTGCTTCCATGGAATCATGAGTTTATGATAATTAATTACAGGGTTTGCTTGAATTCGACTGTTTTGATCATCTTGTAAAAATTTGAGTTTTTTTATATGGTGTAAGATGGATCGGATCGGCTGCTATGTTTATATATATTTGCTATGATTTGAACTTCTTAATTCACTGTTGAAGTCAGCGGTGTGGTTGATGTGATGATGGTTTGTTTATAGGGGTTCCAATTGACCTTAAAATTAAGCTACTTGTGCAGATGGGTTTTGTAGGGATTATTTAAGTGTCAACACTGTATTTTGGCTGGTTGAAGTATATATTTAGTCCGATATTTAATTAAAAATCTTAACTGCGGGTAATCTGTCCCAAAATTTTTTCATGCGTGTACATGTTGGATTTAACTACTACTACGTACTCTTAACAAATTTGATTTAGCTCGTCAGAGACATGGTTATTGATTTTGAATGTACGGCAAGACTTTGGTACTTACGAGATGATAGAACTTAACAATAAAGATATATGTCTAGGGTCACATGAGCTCGGGACGGAGAGGGGGCACGAATGTGATCCTGGACGGACGGGCGCCAAATATAGGTGCGGGGCCTGGAGGGCGTGAAATTTGGTCCTGGACGTCAAGCGATTCTCTATAAATAGATCTGCAACTTGATCAATGAATCCGGAATGGTTAATTAATGGTAGTCGTTGCTGGGCTGCGTCATTATTTGGGACGGGTCCAGTGACGGGAATAAGAGATTTTGGTAATGGATCTGGGAAAGGAGTTGCTTGAGAAGAGTTTTTGCCGGGCTGCGTCAATATTTGGGACGGGTCCATTGACCAGAATAAGAGATTTTGATAAAATTTAGGTTTTGGGTTTGGATTGAAAATTAAATATAGAAAAATTAAGATAAATGTAAATTAAAAATAAATGAAGAATTGATTTTTTTGTTGTTGATCTAGAATAGAATTGTGTCTCACACATCAATTTTTTATTTAGATACTCGTGAGTATTTAATTTAAGAAGCAGCGTTCGGTTCGGTTCGGTTCGATTCGATTCAATTATTTGAGTTGGGATAATTGAATCGGGTCAGATTCGTAATGGAAGATATGTCCAATTTTAATTTAGAAGTTTTCTTTGGAAGGACAAGAAAAGTGATCCAATCCTACGGTCTGCGTGTGTGTGTGTGTGTTTTTTTTATTATAAGTAATGTTGTGTGTTTTTAAGATTGATTAACTTTATGCCAAGCTAAAATTATGAAGAAACTTCTCGAAATCTTTTCAGGATGATGGTACAAGTACTAGTTATACCATATGTACATAGCTTACATGATACTTTACTGGCTAACGATATGAAAAGATTTAATTGGATCAAAATTTTATAAATTAATTAACTTCTCCGTTTGCATTGTAACATCTCATTTTTATGTAAAATATTATGTAAATAGTTATGTACGAAAAACATTTTCCATGTAAGTACTTAAATTTCATTTGAAGGAGATGAAAAAGAAGTTGAGTGAAAAGCCATAGGTGGTGATGTGGTCACTTTTTGCATATCCTCAAGGTGGTGTTCTTGAGGATTCAAACGTGTGCGCTCATTACATGTTGGTCATAATCTCTTCGGGCTAAGGGTTTCCTAGGTATGAAATCCCTAAGGACTAGTATCACGCCTTCACGAGATTTGATTGTCAAGGTCCTCAAAATCCTCGGGAAGGTCCTCTTGACTTTCAAGGCATGCGATTGCTCGAGTACTTTCTTTCACTTAGTTTCAGATACATTTCTGCTTAAACTGAAAAGAAGTCCTGCTCATTAAGGACTTTAATTTGACTCACAAACACCTCAACCGAACACTCCTACATATTGGAGGACTCTATCCCAATTATATTACCTAAATTATTAGTGGTCTTGTAATTGTAGTACGAATAAAATACCCCTCCTAAGAAGGACTATTTCAGATAAGAATATTCAATTGATTTAGTCTTAACGGGTGTGCACTACTTAATTCTACTAGGAGTGCACTATCTACTTCTATAAATATAAATATTTAGATCATTATTCAGGTACGTCTTTACATTCAATTTCAATATACATATTTTCGCATAAATTCCCTTTCTGACTCAAGCATTGGAGGGGCGATAAGGACACATCTTGTTGTCTTTGTTTTAGGTACAAAAGAACTTGTTCGTGCTCTTTCTTAGTCCTCATCCTCAGGAAATCGACATGTACGACTTTTGATAGTATTGGGTGGGATATAAGCATGAAGTAAAATCAACTACAACTGTACGTTATAAGATTTGCAACTGAATCCATAGTACTAGATTCTTTGAAGAGTTTGCAAACCAACATACTACAATAGATATGAGTTTATTCTGCTTGTACAGGGAAAAAAACTCATGGAATCCATACGACACTTGTATGACCATCTTTTTATTATTATTTATTTTTACCATCTTCCAGTAAAAGTTGCCAAGTGTCTCCCTAGCCGTGTAGCACGGCTCCAACAGAGATAGCCCTATTTGGGCTTCATTTTTACAAAATTTATTTTTAGTAACACATTTTTACGTAAAATAATATTACATGTTAATCCAAAATTTCTTTTCTTATTTTTTAACTACTAGTGTGACAACGTGCGTTGCACAATAGTTGGTTTAGTTGGGTGTACGTTAGTTGGTTTAATTGGGGGTGAATGTGAAGTATAAGTGTGTAGTGGTTGTCGAATGAATACATAGAACAGATGTGTTGGTGCAAAGATGTAGTGGAATAATTTGAATAAATACATATGCTTATATTTCAACTCCTATGAGAAGAAAAGGAAGGAAAAGTTGACATTTGTCATTTGGATCATTTGCCAATTTCCCAGAAACTATTTGAGAGGTCAATAGTTTAGTTTTCAATCTTTTCCCCTTTTACAAAGAATTTGAGTATGGTGCAAAAAGACATTTTATTCACTTCACTTTTCCCTATGAAATAATTAATTAATTTTGAAAATCACGTTGACAAAAAATAATTTAAAAGTAAGACTTATAGAACAACAAATTACGCTCTATATCACAGTCAGTAATGTAAAGATTGAAATGGATATTCTTGTGATAGAATAGGAACAAATAGTCAATCTCGGTTGGTAAGAATGTCGGAAAATAATTATTTGTTTCGCAAGACTAAAATCTTGAGTTGATAAATATAATAATCATTCAAGCTGCTACAATTTTCCACACAAAAGCTAATAAAATTAAATGTAATATAGACAATCAAAATTATATTAACAAAATATGAGTTTTGACTATCAATATCAGCTGCATCAACATTAAAACTATATTCACAAAATATGAGTATATTCAGCATCAACCTATTTCGTCTTTTCCTCTGTCCATGTTAAATTATATTCTCCCTTAAATTCTATAAATATTTAATAAAGAGTTAATTTGTCTAACTGATTGATAATATGATACAACCCACCTATTGTTAGTCTATTATATCCATGAAAAAAATATGTTAAGAGAATTAAAATGGGCAAGTTTGCAGCACATTAAACAAAAGAAAAACTATTAATTCATCCAGGCATCTCATCAAATTAAGCAAACTAAATCCTACCAAAAGATAGTTCTTATTTAAACAAATGAAATTGTAAATAAAAAATAATAAAAAAAATTGTGTGTTAAAAGAATTTGATTTTGAGAGGAAAATGGAAAAATAGGATGGAAGTAGATTTTTTGTTACTGTAAGAATGGTTGCGTGAGAAAGAAAAAAATTATATTTAACAAAGCATATAAAAAAAATTGCTCCGTGAATGGACGGAACAAAAGTTCTAAAGCTCCAAGCACACATGGAGCTAATTTTTTGTAAGTAGATTAGATGGTTAGATAGTGTTAAATGTTAATTAAGGAAGAAAATGAGTTTAAAATGTTTTTTTGACTTGAATAAAAATATTTCTTTAAACAAAAAAAGAATTTGGAGCTAAAGCTTTATGCTCCATGTGTGCACGGACGTGCACGGAGCTTTAGCTTCAATATTTTATTTTATTTTATTTTATTTAAAGAAATGTTGTTATTATTATTATTATTATTGAATACTTCAGACCACATGTCTATGCATTCTAGCATATCGTTAATAATTGTAATTCAAAGAATTTTGCTCCTTGTATATAATGGATGACAATGCACAAGTGCCCGATGCAATGTTAGCAGCACTGTATTGATTGCCACACTACATTTTTTGGATAATGTTCAATGATACGATGTCATGTCAAGCTGTATTTACAGATTTTCAATACATATAATCATCCTTTGGGAGACCATTAATATTTGACACTACGCTGTACTAAAAATTTGACAAAGAATTCTCAAAAACCCATCGAGGATGATGATATAACTCAAAAGCACCATCATAGAACTCACTACAAGATAATACACATTTAAAAGGAAAATATTTGATAACTTCGAAATTCACCTAGAACACGTCTGTATAAATTGATTAAACAGATCGAGTTTCAGGACAATGTAGTTGACGCCTTCATCAACTCCTGTTGCGTCTAGTTGCTCATGTGCGTATAGTTTTCAACTTCTAAAACCATTTAACTTAAACATCAATACACAGAAAGCACATTAATTTCATGAAATGTAAATGGATAGAACTTCCTCCAGCGTCATATTTGCAACACTTCCTTTACAAAGAAAAGATGCCACCTTCATCATGTCATTGTCAGTTTCCTGCACTTTCCACCTTTTGTTTGTATGCCAAAACCTATGAATATAACATCGCATTTGGATGAATTGAAAAAAGAAATATGTAAAATAAAACATTAGGAGGCACAAATACAGTCAGTTTATCAGCTTTAGGTTTGGATTACCCAGAGTAATAACAATGCGATATAGGACCTATATATTCAGCTACTACCCTACATACACAGAATGAAATCTTACCAGATTTCGCTGGGTAAAACTGGCATGAATTTCCTCCAAGGTCTGATGCTCTGTCAACATTTGTAACTCATTGTTGCAGAGATTTTTATTATTGGATTCTTTTTGGCAGATTGAATAGCTGGTTGTAGGATGAAAGTCTTTTATTAAAAACATCTCAATTTCACTAGCTACCATGGATGTCTGCCTAGCGACATACTGCAAGATATACAGTTTCAAAACCAATTTAAGGACTCGAACTTAGCTCATAAAACACAATGAAATGCTGTAAAAGAGTAAGGGTTAGGATGAAGGCGGATTTACCTGGCATAAGTGTCCAACTGACAATGTATGGCTACAGCAAAGGTAAGGCCGCTGCAGGCTCGGAATTTTCTCCTCATACAATGAAACAAGCATAAGATTGATATTTAACTGAAAAGAGAAGAAAAACCTGTAATAAGTGAAAGTTAATAACAAAGTGCAGAGAAACTCATAATGGATGATCTTCAAAACTAAACTTTTAAGCACCAACAGATGATTTGAATTAGAAAACGATTTCAGTAGATTGAGGGGAAACAAAATATGGCCATTGCTTCTTTGTCTTTCATTACTTTTTTTCTTTGATATCAATAAAGAAGAAATCAGAACTCATGAAGGGTGGTACAAGATTGCCAAGGCATGGATGTATATTAGTATTACCGCCTCATAATTTTCATCTGAACATCGGAGATGATCAATTAGCTTTCGAAGTTGGCTATTCCTGGCCAGCTTGCCACTGGCCCCATTGAGACTGCCACGGCGGGTGTGACTGCGCATGCCATTTTTTCCCCAGGCACGAATTTCTGAACTCCCAACAAGGCCAGCCAAAGCACCTGTTAACTCTCTGTTCAGTTCTGAATCATTTTCATCATAACCTGCATCAGCATTGCCTCCTGCTGAAAACTGCAAATCGCGAGCATTGACACGTCTTTTGTGGCGTTTTGGTTTCACTTCTGTGCTGCGTTCATCAGCAGAAGATGAGTCTTTGCCACCATCATGTCCATTAGCATCCTCCTCCTCATCAGATCCTTGATGCTCAACAACCCGAGGATTTCTTCGGCCCCTCAAGTTTCTATAAGTGCCCTGTTCCCTGAAAAATCTTAGTGCTGTCGCTCTGGCTGATGTCCGTTTCTTTCCCAATGCTTCTGACTGTCGTCGCAAAGTCTGGGCAATTGAAGCTTGGATCTGTATAATAGTAACAACAAAGAAAAATTAAGAAGGTGAAATTTGGTTGTTAGCAATTCAGAGCTAGAAATGTCAATGAGTTTCCAATTCTATGTTATGATAGATATGCAAACCACCAAAGAATGGCAATGCCAACACGAGCCATTTCAGGACTTCTCCTTCTGACATTTATAAGAAATATTTTACAAATCCCTGTCAGCCAAAAAATGGAGCTGGGAAAATTTTCAGTTGTCTTAATGGACATAGGGGGAACAAATAAATCATTCCACATATTATTTGTGGCACGCAGATTGGAAGACAAATCCCTTAGATCATAAATTTAACTGAACCGCATGAGATTAAACTCAAGCATTGGGATCATTGACCTGCTTATTGCGAGCCTTCTCCTCTTCATGAAAAGCAAATTCCTGCAACAATGAACAGAAAAGTGGTTTATATAAAGCAAATAAAAACCAAACTATGCCATGACAAGAGGACAGAAATTTGTCCACAGATACCTCCTCCTCAAATTTATCAATGTCTGGATACAAAGCAGCAATTAGGGCATCATAGTTTGGGTCATCTCTCAAAGAACGACGACTAGCACAATGTGTGCGGCAAGCAGGACATTCGTTGTTCCTGCATAGGAATCCACTGATAAAAGTAAATTGCAAGGACTCGCTCAACAATTAGTCAACAATGAGAACAAGAAGTACCCCAGGCGCATGGATTTGTCAATGCACTCTCTACAAAAGCGATGCAGGCATTCCATGACTGTTCTTGTCTTCCTAATAATACCTGTCAAACAAAGTTCTACACAGCATTAAACCCATAAAGCTGATTTGACTAAAAGAGAAAGAAATAAGAAGGTTTCAATATTTGAATTCTAATCTCATTCATATGGTGGAAAAGTACAGATTCTGCACGGTGGAAAAGTCCAGATTCTACACAGTGCAAAAGCCAATAAGAAGATGCAGGTCTTCATTTTGATTCTAGACTGTTGAATTTCGTTGAGATTCAGAAGATTAATTTTCAGGTAAAAAATGTAATCTAGGCAAATAAAACAATAAATCAATGGATTAACTTGCAAATAGTTTGTAAGAATTAAATCAGTGTGACGTGCACATGAAGCCCCTTTGTAGTCGAAGGATGTGATTTGCAGAACTCCTTTTCATTGAATCATGATACACTTTTTTGGTAGAAGCTAGAAGCTTAGAAGAGAACAAAAAGGTAGGCATATGATATTGGCATTCATTAGTTCATCATTTTTTTTTCTTTTTTTTTTTTTTCCACGCTCAACAAGTTGACACACTGCACAAATGGTTAATAAAAGAATAGCATGTTGGCTTGGTACAGTTGGCCAAATAATCTATTAAAACTAGTGCTCACAAGTCACAATTAATAACAAATTAGAAATTCTGTACTCCAAGTGTGATGGTGATAATGTCCTCAGCATGCAGGATGTTTATCCCCACAACATCCCCTTTTAAAGGGACTTACTCTCAAATACAATCTCATGCAAGATTCCAGGCAAGAAAATATAAGCATAATAAACCTAAAGTGCCCATCCCAATGAGACTCGCATGCATAATTTCTGTCGGACTAAAAGTAGCAACCTTAGTAAAATGAAAAAAACAGAGAGAATTGCATCTGCTCACCAGGGTAAATGATCTTCTAAGCTTTTGCTTCCTAAACACTTGTGTAACTATCTGCATCTTTCTATTTAAGCTCATTCCTATATGAAGTACCCTTTGTACTCATTTTCCAGACTCCTAACCTGCTAATTTTCTGTTCTTATAGCCATCCCTCTCTTCGAACTACCTAATGATGGCCAAAGTATTATCTAGGGCCTATGTGACCTTCACCAAAAGAGTCCTTTACCCACGTGATGAGTTTTCTTTTAGAATATTTGGCTTCCTTAGTAAACTTGATTCTATATCTCAGTAATTCCTCATTACGTTGAAGTAAGTAGTACATGATGATAAATATAAAATGTACAAAAGTTGATGTAATGTCATGGGCTTTTTGCATTATTGAATCACTCCACTGGATTGAGATAGTTAACAATCAGTAAGCCAGCGGGTACGGAATGCCATTATTACATTTTAAATTTTTTTGGGCTCACTAATGGATGACCTTTAGCGTCAAAGTTAGCTGCCTTCACAAGTTCATCTATAACATATCTGTCTTCATAGTAAGCATCTACAAATTCCAGCAGCAAGCCAGTTTCAACTAGTCTGATACCATCAAACCAACTCAGCATGCAACCATTTACTACTATAAAAACAAAACAAATAACTCCCATCAAAAGAAATAACAACATAATATAGTAATTTACCTTCAAAGTAACTTAACAATCAATTTGTACAGAAAATAGTGATCCAGATAAAACTAGTCAAACTCAAACCCATAATAAGCAAACAGACATAGGAACGATCTCTCAATAACTAGAAGATCTAGATGAGTTGAAGTATTTCAAAAGTAAGCCCAGAGCCTTCTTTGATGAAACGTGTACCCTTAACACAAAAAACTCGTATGGCAACATAAAGAGGGCAGATCTCAAGCTATTCCATTGATCTACACATCATACATTTCCAAAATTCACGATAATCGCAACAAGGTAAAAAAAAATTAAAAAAAAATTAACACTTTATACATTAATTGACATGTATGCCAGAGTGCAGATAAGTTTATACGAGACTATATGTGTCTATGTGAAGAGATAGAAAGAAATACTCGTCTTTTTCTCCGTCACTGGAGGAAAGACTGCCATTGGAATCTGAGAGTCGGAGAAGAAACCAATCAATAAATATATGACAGGAAAATAAGAGGAAATTGGAATTTATCGTCAAAATTTTGTACGCAGAATAACGCATGTACGTAGGCATGTAAATGTATACGCATGTGACAACATACCTTCGCCGTTTTCGGGTTCTCCGTCGTTGTAATTCGGGTTGCTTTGGAGTGAATGATCGGCATCCTCTTCCTCGGTCGGCGGCGGAGGAGGAGAAAGAGGAGAAGTAGTATCTAGCGGACGCTTCTGGGCAGGCATTGATAGTCCGAGCTGAGCTCGGGACGGTGAAGACGGTGGTAGCGGGGGGAGACGGGGTCAGCGGAGGACGGAGTCAATTTGAGTGTGGCTTCGTTTTGTCTGTATGACGTATGTATTTTGTGCGCGGGTATGCGAGCTTTGGGTTCATTTCTGTCCGGTTAATTTGGTACAGCTCATTCCATGGAGATAAAGTTTTTAGACTATTAGAGGGTTGGGTATTTTAATTGAAATTGAACCCCTTGAATCGAAATCAAAAGTTTCGCTATGGTTCCAAAATAGATAAATTAGGAATCGAAATCGAGAATTGATTGATTTCGGGTTATTTTTGAACCAAAACTGTAAGTACTTGAATGGGAACATATTTATTTAAAATTTCAAATTCTAACCTCGAAAAATAAACACTGACTCCAAATTTTTTTGTCTCTCACCTCAGGTCAACTTGTTGCATTTTACAGGTTAGTACATGTTAGTTTCTAAAATTTGGGCTTTTTATGAATCAAACAATTCAAGTTAGGTTGTGATATAAGTTGATGAATCAAAGCATTCATTCTTTACAATTTGAGCATTTTATTTTTTCACATTATTTACAAACTTAAGTGATTTTTTTTCTTTTAATTTTTTTTATAACTCATAGCAACTGAACTTTATATATTCATAGTTTGGCATGTGGTGTATCTCTTTTGTTATCTTGAGTTCGTTGTTCCCTTTTGAAATATAAGGGTGTGTTTGGTTTGCATTTCCGTTTACTGTTTTCAGTTTTGAATTCATTTTTAGTTTTCCATTTTTAGGGACTATTTTCGAATTACCAAAAATGTATTTGATTTGTCATTTTGAAAAATAATTTCTCAAAGCAGAAAACTAGAAATGCGTTTGGTTTAAAATTTTTAGAAATTATTTTATAACATTTATTCAATTAATTTGATTATTTAGTAAAACATAATAATTTTATGCTAATGTATTACCAGATGATATATATTTTAAACTTGGTGAATTTACAATTTTTTCCTACTACAAAAACAAAATAATAAATAATAAATTTTTAGAAGTTGTTTTATGATATTTATTCAATTAATTTGATCATTTATAAAACATAATAATTTTATGCTATATTACTAGATAATATATATTTTAAACTTGATGAATTTATTATTTTTTCTTTCTTGTTTTGAGTCTTTTTAACTGAAAACACTTAAACCGAAAAAAAATCGTTTTGAGTTTTCAGTTATAAATTTTTTCGTGTTTTCAGAAATGTATTTTCAGAAACGACAGACCAAGCACGTTTTGAACATTTTCAAAAGCTAAAAACAGAAAACGATTGAAAAACGGCAAACCAAACACGCTCTAATTTTTCCTTTTTTTATTCAAAAAGAGCAAGTTCAATATGTGACATGCAATTTTTTAATATTATATAGTTTGCATTTTTATGTCAGTAAGTTTTAAGAGTAGAAGAATTTAAGTATTTTTCCATAATTAAATTATAGGTTTTAGCATGCCTTACTCATAGATCGAATAAGATTTATTAAGAAAAATAATTTATTCTCAAATTCTAATTTAATTTTTGATATTTTAATTTTCTCCTTTTTTTTTCATGGTTTTTAGTCTTCACTATTATGCTTCTGAAGATTTTTTAGCTAGATTATCTCCCTTTTACAAATATTATCGAGTAGTAACATGTTAGGCTTATATTTTGAAAGAGTCTTTATGAAAACATTTATCAATGTATATAAAAAAACATTATGAGTAGAACTAAACCAAAACCGAGCTTTTGATTCCGGTTGATTTAGTTCTAGTAATTATAAATATTCGAATGATTCCATTTACAAAATACCCGAAGTATAATAGATTGTTTTGGGTATTAAAATAATTGAACATACCCACCTGACATACAAGCCTAAACTTATGTTACACACAAATTTTCCAAAATGCTACAATTCAAACGGGCTTTAAAGGCTTTCAAAACTCTTTCGGCCAAAAACTCATGGACATTAAATTTTGGGCAACTTACAACACCACCCTTAAAATTAGAGGTGTTTTGAAAAATTATATGAAAAGTTTTTAGGAAGTAAAAAATACTTTGTAAAATGAAAAAAGTGACACAATGTCACTTTTATATAAAAATTGTCACACTTTTTTTTTTTGACAAACTAAAAAAACATGACAAGATAAAAAAAAAGTGATACGTTAAAAAAGTGACGAACACTAAAAAAGTGGCGAATTTAAAAATGAGATAGAGATCAAGAAGGTGACAAACATTAAAAAAGTGACGAAAATTTAAAAAAAGTGACGAATTCAAAAAAGTGACACAATTTTAAAAAAAGTTACACGGATTAAAAAATGACAAACACTTGAAAAGTAACAAAATTCAAAAAAAGTGACACTAAAAAAAGTGTCAAATATTTAATAAAAAGTGACACAAACTAAAAAAAAAATGACAAACCGTAATCCACAGTTTTCAATATAGACAAATTATCTAATAAGTTCACAGTTGATGAACAAATTAAAAATTTTTGAACTAACAACTTAGACAATATGATCATAATCCAAAATTTAAATGCAACCAAGTTTACAGTAAGCTCACAAGTCACAACTAATGAAAATTGATGACTAAACTAAGATGTAAATGTCAAAAAATCATATAAACGCTCATCACTGTTAATCGAATAATATTTTTTGCGGTCTTCAAATCATAACATATCCTACAGTTTGCATACTGACCGAACAGTTTACCAAACTCTGGACAATATTTTGAGTACCCGAAAATTGATATGAGAAACGTTGTTTTTCTGGGGCACCGCATCAAAAAAGCTGCATGCTAATTCTATCTTCCTGCAATCTAGGTACCTATAGATCATAGCATTCCAGGAAGCAAAACTACTCCCTGGCATCTGTCGAAACAATGCATATCCCTGCTCCATATTCCTGCCCATTGCATAACTAGAAACCATTGCATTCCAAGATATCACATCCTTCTCTGGCATTTCATCAAACACACTCTGAGCCATTGCTAAAGTTATGATCTGAACAGAAATTTAGCTTTTACCTTTTAGCAAACTAATAAAAGGAGTATATATATTGCATACCAAGTTGAATAGATGAGAATTCAAAATGTGTTTCTAGACAGAGAAAGGCAGAGATGTAGAGAGAGATGAGGCGCTCCAAAGGGGATGGTGTATTAATGAAACCATTGCATT